CTGGGTTTGGGTCTGGTGTGGTTGATTGGTGATGGCGTTCTGTGTGCCTCTGGATCTGGTGTCGGTTTTGGAAATTAGCCCTCCCCACAAAAACCGACACCAGATCCAGAGGCACACAGAACGCCATCACCAATCAACCACACCAGACCCAAACCCAGACCCTCTCCACAGATAAATTACAGACACCATCCAGTAGCCAAACCATGGTGGCACCTCCGGATGCTGCACCCCCCTGCAATCCCTACACAGATCTGGCTGGCACAGGACACAAAACCACAGCTCGCCCCTATACACGAAGCCAAGCCAGAGCACAACTAATTGCAGTACAGCCATCCTCTCAGAAAAACTCTTCACAAAGTTCAAGAGGTCAAGACACGAAGGCTTTAGCAACTAATCCACACCTAATGACCCACCTAAGTGGTACTCAGGATATCACTCAAGAAATCACTCAAGATATCCCTCAAGTAATTAAGGAACAAAAGAAGAAAAGGCACACTAACCTGGGAACTTCCTCTCTGCCCAGAACATTGGAGGCTATACACCACACCCCCTCAACAGTATTTATAGGAACTCAAACACTGAGATCCTGCTCTGTTCCAGTAACAAGAAGCCGAAAGCACCAGCCTGAAGATGACGAGTGAGACCTCGTCGAAACGTCGCCTAGACACCCCAACTTTTACACGGGAAGACACCCGAGGACACCAAAACCTGCATATATATATATATATACACACACACACACACACACACACACACACACACACCTGCTAAGTGGTTCCACTATGCACAAACTTTTGTAGACTAGAACCCATATTATACTGCATCATAACCATCATTATCATTAATTTGTGAAGCGCTTTTCATATATATGTCCCAAGGGGATTTACAGACACCCTTGAAAGCAACTGAAATGGTTTTTAAAACAGCACAAGAACAACTGAGTACAGGTTTGAAAATCGCACAGGAAGGAACACCCTAAGGCAGAAATCTTTTCATCTAGCTGGGTAAAACATACATACATAAATACTGAGGGAGAGAGGGAAAGAAGTGGTAAGCAATGTCCATGAAACGTAAGAGGCAGCAGTAAATCTACAGAGCCAAAATGTAGAAAACATGACATCAATACAGTTTTATGGCACATTGAAGATTTAACAGATTGAATGAAGCGATCCTGCAGTCCTACTTATCTGGGAGTAAGCCCCATTGAACTCAATGGGACTTACTTTTCAGCAGACAAATATAGGACCGCACTGTGAATCTGTTAGTCATTAAGTTGCCATAAGGCTCTCACTGGATGTAGGGGTTTTACTGAATCTCCTGCACACAAAAACAAAGAGAAACTTAATGCTTCCTTCCACAATTTTGCTTCCTTTTATTAGAAACCTCCCTGCCCAAAAGGAAATACTTGGTTAACCTCTGTGTATTAAACTGGCTAAAATATGCATTTAGTGGATAATCAGGAAAGTGACCTTTTTAACTTCATCTCTCCAACCTAAATGCAAAGGCCTGGAATCATTCTAAAAAAGGTATGTGACTCAGTGGCTGAATGACTGTGGCATATTGAGTTGCATATAAACGGATACCAACCCACTTGACACGTTCCATGGTGGCCCACTCTGTAGGAAGGACATTTATGACCGGCGAGCAGTGTGTAAATCTGCCACCTGTTCTCTTTGCAATATGAAGCATGGCTCAGTTCAGCACTTCCTGCCAAAGCATCCTGTGAAAGGAAGGCGAATCCACAGTAGACTTAAGGCTACTAATATTAGGTATAGAGACTTTCTTTTACACTTAATCTTTACTCCTTAATCTTTGCTTGATAAACAGAGCTGACTTATCAAGGAACCAGGAGCATGAATTCTAAGAAAACTGATGCAAATTAAGGAGATGCTGATGATAATCATCTTAAATAAAATTTGCCTTTTTGAGCTTTTCTATTTGTGAATTTGTTATTATTTTGTGAAACTCACTACCTTTTATATAACACCGTGCAATACGGTATTAGGGTTGCCATATTTCAAAAAGTAAAAACCAGGACACCCCAATTTATTTATTTTTAAGAAGACCCCAAAATTGTTGTGTGTTTCTGTACAAAAACGCCAAAAAACAACAATTTTTTGATTGAGTTGACTAAGAACCAGAACAAAGCACTGCCTTTCAGATATGCCCTCCAAGTCATCAATTTCGCCTTTGAAATCCCTGTAATAGCAGAGAAAATCTAGACGCATGGCAGCCCTAAATTGTAAATACACATATCCAAAATGAAGTTTAAGATCTGTTCTTCTCCAGAGCCATTAGTCACTCAGGTCCTTCTTTCTTTCCAAGTGTGTGAGCTGCTTTGTATGTTGCCTTTTGAAGACCCACAAATTGGATTACCTTGGGACATATACCAGGCGGAGGTCCAAGGCACTTGAATCCAATTCACACCAAATGCTCTGCCAACGATTCCTCTTTGTCTTTGGTCACGTGATGACTCTTGCAACCACAACATACAAAGAAGTTCACAGAACCTCCATAAATGAAAGCGATCTGTGAAGGAGCGTTTCTAGTTTCTCCTCCTCCTACTTTTTATGGTCATTTTTACAGTTCCAGAACAAAATTACCACAGGCCTGCTAGGCCTCCAAATGAATGTTCTGAGCTGTAGTGGGTGATTGTAAAAAGGAAGATGGAGTGGAAATGTCATCCTTTCTTCACAACGGAAGTGAATGAATTTAATGTAATGGTAGCAAACCTAAAAGGAATGAAAGAAATGCGTTGCAGGTGGTTGGAGTCCCTTACGACTCTACAACTCTATGGTTCTTACGACTCTACAACTCTATGGTTCTAAGTGCTCAGGTACACAGGGCACAAGGTCACTGATTTTGATTTGTGTGCTGGGGAAAAGAGAGGGATGAGATTTTAGTAGCAGGAGGTAAAATTCATATCAGGTATCAAAAGCCTGCTATATTTAAGAATAAATTGGCAAGCAATGTATTTTTAATAGCATCTGTTGAGATTATTTTCTTTTTTATAGCAGTATTATTAAATAGCTCCCACCCTTTTTAAGCAAAGTGGTTTCTGCTTTTGGCATGCAAACATTGAACATATGCCTGTTGTTTATAACAATAACCATTCTATATCCCTATGCAGGCATAATGTTTTATCGTGCTTGTCTTTTATCTCATTAGCTAAGTGTTGCATCTAAATTCCTAAATCCTAAATCCTGAGGTTTTTCCAGCTGGATAAATGGGTCTACCCCATGAGTGTCTATTTTATATAGTCGTGTTTTATTTTTAATGTATCTGCTTTTTTGTGTTTATAACTTTTTGTTGCATATCGCCTTGAGACAATTGTATAGAAGGCAATTAATAAGTGGTTGTGGTTGTTCTCGTCACCATCATCCTTAATGGTCAATGATTGGCCAAGCCAAGGTGGGATTTTTCTAAAATACAGGGATCGAGCCTGCAATCATGGCGTTATCAGACCATGTTGTAACCAGGCTCATCTTCCAAAAGAAATTGGCTATACTATTGACACAGTTACATAACTTGTGGAATGTATAATCTTTTTCCAGATTATTCACTATTTCATGCAGTGGGCTTTTTGAGACCCAACCCATTTGGTTTTTCCCAAGCAACTTCATCACCACACATTTGAGAGCCAAGGATCGTTTGTTTAGCCAGTTCCTCTTGCACAAAGCTTCTCGGTGCACCATTTCCATATTGTCTTTCTGTTTCCATTCCATTTGAACAGTAGCATGTTAAATATTTCTTACAGGGTAACCCTCAGCATATTGACTCAGAAATAAGTCCCATGACTACCTAGTCAGTGTGTCTTAGGACTGCAGCTTTAGATAACCCCATATGCAAAAGTCTCCCTCCCTCTTAACAGCAGACTCACTTGGTGAGTGGCTGAACTCTAGTCAAAACAGGATTGTTGGGAAGCAAGAAAGAGGGTATCCATGTGATCAGGGGGACCCCAAAGGAAAGAAATGGAAGGCATAAAGTAAGAATACTCCATATAGTCCAACGAGAACAGTAGCTACGGAATGTTTAATATGGGAATGGAGTGGGGAAATAAAATGCCATTCTTGCGCCTCTTTTTGCAGAATGCTTTGTCATCATCATCCTTAATGGTTAATGATTTGTCAAGTCAAGGTGGGATTTTTCTAAAATAACTTTAGAATGCATGATCTACTTTAACTGTACATTATTCAAACCGCAATTAAAATAGCTTCCCATTTTGCTAGTTTCTCTGTAGCTGCAAGATGATAAACAAGACTTGCTATACCTTTCTCTTAACATATCCTCCAAGGTCCTGACTTATCATGGGCAGGGCTTCACTGTACATCGGGAGTTCTGTTTGGGTTAAGGCAGCAAACCATTGTTAAAAGTTATTTTCAAATATAATGCTAAACCATAGTTTAGTAAACAGAAGACCTCGGTGAGCCTTTGTCTCTAAAGCTCTTTTCTCCTCCCCTTACATGGCTGTGGGGAGGCAAACAGAAGCATCTTTTTTCTGACCATGAATTAACTGGTTTTTTTTTAGTCCAGCAAGCTCAGGTTAGTTTAAACTATGGTCATTTGGAACAATCCAGGATCACAAAACAGTTTGAACTTGGCTTGTTTACAATAAACCATAATTTAAACTAGCCACAGTTTGTTGTTGTTGAACATGACAACAAACTGTGGGATCAAAAATCATTGTAATTAAAGCAGCAAGTTAGTTTATGCTTGTATTTGAGTGCTTGTAATCTCGTGACTATTCTGGAGGATGGGAGAGTATCAGAGCCTAAGGCTTTCCTGAGCTTTTTCATGTAGTACCACCATAGAATATTTACATTACAAGCAAAAACAAAGCAACAAGCACTGACTTTGTTGTACAATGTAAAGGAGAGTCCTGTAGGGCTATCAATTGTATTAATATATATACAGAGTATTTCACAGGTGTGTTTATGTATGCTCAAATTTCTTGAGATTATTTTCTTTATAATTTATTTTAATGTTTTCCTTATTTTCAGGAACGAATAACAGCGCTGGAAACGGTGAGTTCCGTCCATTCTCTTTATTACAAATCTATTGCAGTTCTCACGCAGGAATTTATACCGGGGTTTTTTTTCTTCTAAGAAAATAGGTCTGGGATATTTAAAAGTAATTTTTCTAAACTATAAATCAACTCCTTAGAGGTTCTTGTTTGCCAGTTGGCTGTGATAAGCCAAATAAAATGTAAAAAGGCACAGTACATCCACATGAGGTCACTTAATATGGAAATGTGTTGGTAAAGTCAACCATATTTTATAGGTCAACTGGAAGTAAAAATTAGACAATTCAAATTCGTTTTTACTCGAAAATGACAAGTGTGCCTGAGTTTTAGTTTTACCAGAAATTAAATAACATTGCCACAGGGAAGCTGAAGTCATCGAGTGAATTAAAATTTTAGAGCTTGAAGACACAACTTTGTCAACAAATGTGCTATTTACTTGTTTTGCAATTCCATCCAAGGGACAAATTATGGCATTGCTCCAGTAATCCTGCAGGGCCTTTCTGACTGCATGCGGAATGAAAAGGAACATGTATGTGTGTTTGTGTGTTTTGGTCTGCGATTTTGCACTTAAGTTGGACGTAGTTATTTATTTCATTAGGGAACTTCATCAAAATAAGTCCCAGGGCGGTTTACAACATTAAGCAGACAGTACAAAAAAATGTTAAAATAGAAAATCTACAAGTAAACAAACTAAATCAAAAAATCAAAAATCTGAAAGACCCTCACGACCAGTAAAACAGTATAACGGCAGCCGTTCATAAAAATTAAATTACATTCCTCCAAACGCCTGGGTAAACAAATGTGTCTTGACACAGGAGTAGAAACCCAAATACTGGAGTGGCCTCTGGGGCAAAGAATCCCATCGTCAAGGGAACATGACTGAGAAGGCCTCATCCCAGGTCAGCTGATATGGGGAGAGACACTCCATCAAGTACTTGGGTCCCGAAATATTTAGAGCTTTAAATGTCAACACTAGCTCCTTATATTGGGTCTGGTAACATACAGGCAGCCAGTGCAGATCAGATTAGTGTTTTTGTTTATAGGTTTAGAACAGTTGGCAGGTTTGTCACTGGTATGCACAGCTGTGCTTCTACCACACCTCACAGGAGCCTTTGGGAATACTCTGTGAGTTTGATTGACATTTGCAAAGACTCTTGGATCCTGCAAGCATTACTTCTTTATGCTTTTAACAAATTCCTCCCTCTAGAGAACTTGCCTTCTCTATGCAATCCAACTGCTAGGTGAAGGACCAGCTATTTTCCCAGCAAAATAAATTATTGAATAAAGGTCACCCTGAAGACGAGAATCACAAGTTATGGCAAGTAGTTATCCCACTTTCCTACTAAAAATATCTGGAGTAGTATACAAGAGAATAAAACCATATAACATAATAAATAAAAAGTGTAAATACAACTAAAAGCAAGAACTGGAAACATGATGCAACCAGCACTTAAAAATGAAACAAAGAAACTAACAGCAACAAGGATAAAAAGATGTTGCACCTTGAAAACTAGTAACAATAAAACCAGCCGTTACATATTAAAAGTCTTTTAAAATGAACACGTCTTCAGTTTCTTGCAAAAGGAACAACATTCAAGAGTCCCAACACCATGACAGAAAAGACCCTGTCAAATATCCCAGGGTGGTATTGAGAGGCCTCTAACATTAATTTGGATTCCTAGGCAGGCCCTAAGCTGTTTAAAACTCTAAAGCCTAGAACCAGCTCTTTGAATTGAGCACAGTTACATATATTTTCCCCACACCGTTTGTGATTACCAAATAAAAATATTATTAGACCACAAAATGGCAATTCGACAGTGAAGGATTATGATGGGGGGGGGGAGAGGTTATGAATGGCAAGAAAATCCTTACCAGAGCTTATGCTTGCTACATGACTAATGGTTCCATCTCCAGCATCCTGTGATACAGTGGCGTAGCGTGGGGGGCGGGGGGGCCGGCCGCACCGGGCGCAACATCTGGGGTTAGGGCAAATCCACGGGTTAGGGGGCGCAAATCCACAGGTTAGGGGGCGCAAATCCACGGGTTAGGGGGCGCAAATTACTTGCCTTGCCCCGGGTGCTGACAACCCATGCTACGCCGCTGCTGTGATACAATCACCTTCCTAAAGCCTTCCTTGACTGAGTTAAAGAATGGCCAGGTGAGCCACATCATATACAGTTATCCAGTCGTATTTTCTTGTAGCATCTTGGGTTAATGGTCTGTTTTGTTAAAACAGATGTTCCGCACTAATGGTCTAGTGGGCACTCTTTGATAATCTGTTGTGGGTGGACAGCTCAAACTAGCACTATTATTGCTTCCATCCCTTCAGATATTTCTATAGGACAAGACACTGCTCTACATAAGCATTTACTGAACTTAACCACAGGTGGAATGGGAATCTGAAGTGGGGGGGGGGCGTAAAGCATTCATTCACACAGGGAAAAGAAGGCATGCTTTTAATATTATTAAAATGTATTCTAAAGACATCTGGAGTCTAGACTGAAAAGTTCAGTTATTTTGGCATGCAGGTTTCTTCTTATATTTCAGTGCCAAAAAAATGCTTGTTTTAAAATTTATGGTGATTTACCCCCAACAAAAGGTACTGTTTGTTTTATTTTCTTGATGCCAGTTAATACTGATGCACACAACCTTCTAAACAATAGCATGAAAGTTACCCAATCTATGTACCCAGTTCTTCTGGCTGGGTTATTGGTTATGTTATTAGAACCTTAGCTCCTGGCTTCTACTCATTTTTTGAGTGTTAAGATTTCACTAGCCATCTGTTGGGAAAGGGGAGCAGGGGACTGGATCCAGCCACTCCTTGTCAGATTGGCAGAATCCAAGCTGTTTCGAGAGGACTTTAAAAGCCCAACGTGATCTGCACTCTTTATTGGAACCGAGGCTATTATTTCCTCCCCTCCATTCCATCTTCTTTTCACCTCTTTCTCTCCCACCTTTGGAAGAGGGATTTCCTGTTAGCTTACATGTTATGAATGATAAAGATAATATTAGTTAATTGATCACTATCACTAAAATTTGTGAGTCCCTTTGGCCAAACAAGTAATTTGCCCAAGTTGATGTTGGTAAAGCCAGTGCTTTTTTTCTGGGAGGATGCAGTGGTATGCATACCCCTAAACATATTGTGAATCTAAGTTTGGCCTCATTGAGGGCAGTATTTAAATATGAGTAGGAAAATTAGAGTACCCCTAAACATATTTTTTTTAGAAAAAAAGCACTGGGTAAAGGTAATGGCCATTTAAGTTTTATCTGGAAGCTGACCTGAGCAAATTTAGTAAGTGAAGCGCTTGTTTTTCTCTTTGTTGCAATAATTTTCATTTTCCAGAAAAGAAGAAAAATGCATGCATATATATTGTATCTGACAGATAGGAAGTTAAAAATGTATATGTTCGTAATATATTCCAATAGTTAATAAAAATATGCATAACGGATATTAAATCACAAAACATGTCTTTCTAGCAACAACTATTTACAATATATGTTCCAGTAACTAATAAACATGTTCCATTTCCTTCCTAAGTCTTGTGCTGGATATTTTCTATTGCATCTGCATATTATTATCCAGTTTCTTCATTTCCACAACATGATCTGCATACATAATTAATTAGATGCAATGAAACCCAGCTTCAATTCCATCATTTTCTTTTTCATGTCTTGCTTCAAATTTTGCAACTTCCTTACAATTTCTGTGTATTCATTCCTAAATGTTCTTTTCTTTTAGATAACATTTTCAGGCATAGTTGCCGATTCTGATGGGATTAATTTTATAAGGATAGATGCAGTGGTTTTCACACAAGGCAGCCTTTATCAGTTGGGGGGGGGGCAATTGGCGTGAACATCCCAGTCACCAGAGAGAGGTGCTCCTGGGCAAGAAATATGCCAAATTACAAACAAATATTTGGGGAGGGGGGTGTTGTACTAGGTACCTTTAAAGTTGATTGAGGGGAGAGATAAAAGGGACTCACTTTCCTCCCAGTGGTTTTGTTTGTGACCACTGAGTTGATGGCATACTGTAGGTGCTGCAAGAAAAGTGTTTTGATTTGAGGAGTAGGCTGTTATCTGCACTTAAAACCTCTGTCTCATGACAGTGGTACCTTGGTTCTCAAACGCCTTGGTACTCAAACAACTTGGAACCCAAACACTGCAAACCCAGAAGTAAGTATTCTGGTTTGGGAACTGCTTTCAGAAGCCGAACGTGCTCCATTTTGAGTGTTACGCTTCTGATTTGAGTGTCACACTTCCGTCTGTTTTTGCTATTTATTTTGCATTTTTGTTTTTGTGGCTCTTTCTTGTTGTTTTTGTGACTGTGTGGAACCCAGTTCAACTACTGATTAATTGACTGATTGATTGTGTGACCGCAGTACATTGTCTATTGCTTTCATTTTATGGATCAATGGTCTTGTTAGATAGTACAGTTCATGTTGAATTGCTGTTTTAGGGGTTTTTTTAAAAGTCTGGAACAGATTAATCTGTTTTGTATTACTTTCTATGGGAAAGTGTGCCTTGGTTTTGGAATGCTTTGGTTTTGGAATGAACTTCTGAAACAGATTAAGTTTGGGAACCAAGGTACCACTGTACTTTGCCCATCCAAACCTTCCACAGCCTAAGCTGCTTCTGGGGGTTGATGGGTAGCTTGAGAGAGAGGGATCCTTCATTCTGTCTGCCCTGCATGTCCCTTGGCCCTCCTCCCTTACTTCTCTGACACTTCCCTGAACAAGAGGTACTAGTACTGACTGTGGAGATATATATCCTGAGGCTGGTGGAGGTGTGGTGCCCTGAAAACTTTCCCCTGCCCAGCCCAACTTGCACATTTCCCAGGGGCGTCTGTTTGGCAACTCTTGGAATACTGATTAGATGGCTCTTCTGCATCTAACAAGGACTGGGTCCCAGTCTGTACTTGGATGGAAGAATCCAGGGGAACCCTGTGTATGACACCTTGAATTCCATCATGGGGGACAGGTGGGGTAGAAATGTAATTTATAT